ACCACATAAGCAGAAAAAGCTGGGAGTGGCGCTGTGGGCTCAGTGGTAGACTGCTTGCCTTGCATGCATGAGGCCCTGGGCTCGATTCCTCAGCACCACATAAGCAGAAAAAGCTGGGAGTGGCGCTGTGGCTCAAGTGGTAGAGCACTAGCCTTGAGCTGAAGAGCTGAGGGACAGTGCCCAGACCCAGAGTTCAGACCCCGCCACCAAAAAAAAAAAAAAAATACCTGTTCTTTTTAAAAAAGATGTATATAGGAGGGGGTTCACTGTAACATTTCCATGATGTACAAAGAAGAGATCAAGCTCATTCCTTCCATCTCTTTTTTTTCATTACCCCTTCCCCACTTCTTAAAGCATTTTCAAGAGATTTCGCTGTTCTATTTTCAGAGATGCTTGTAAGTCTGACCATAATCACCCTCATTCATCCTCTTGGATGGTCCTCCCCACTCTCACAGGTTATAGGTTCCCCCAACATATCTTGTTTCATTTTCCCGTGTTTCATTTGTCTAGTAGATATTGATTATACAGAGGACTTTCATTTATTCACACGTACATACACTATAGTTTGGTCAGATCCACCTCATTTATTTTTTTCCTATCCCCTCTACCCTACTGTTTAATAGCTATCAATGAGTGTCCTTATTCCAACTTCACATATAGAAGACTATCCTTATTTCTAAGAAATACACACAGAAGCACTGAGGAGCAAAGCCTATGTGGTTTACCTTTTACTTAGATGTTTTACACACACACGTACACATGTGTACACATATGCAAGGGAGATATGAGTGAACACAAATGATAAAGCAAAATGGTCTAATATGAAACAAATGTTTCAGAAGAGTTTGGATACTTTTGCATTGTTTTTATTTTTTATTGTTTTCTGAATTATAATTTTTTAAAATAATAGGCTTAAAACCTTTTTAAAATAAATTTAAAGCCAGATGTCGGTGGCTCACGCCTGTAATCCTAGCTACTCAGGAGGCTGAGACCTGAGGATCGGGGTTCAAAGCCAGCCAGGGCAGGAAACTCTGTGAGACTCTTATCTCCAATAAACCAATCAGAAAACCAGAAGTGATGCTGGGGCTCAAGGGGTAGAGTGCTTGCCTTCAGCTAAAGAGCTGAGGGATAATGCCCAAGCCCGGAGTTCTAGCCCCAGTACAAATAAAAATAAATAAATGAATGTATGAATAAATAAATGTAAAAATAAAATATATTCACTTTATGAAAATCAGCAACTTAAAATCATTCATGTTAACTTCCTCCTAGAGGTCTACTAGTTTAAGAACTGAGGTCTGTCTTCTGCCATAGGCAGAACTTCAAGAAGCTCCCTCTCAGGAGTGGGGCTTACCTTCACTTCGCCAGTACTAGATGGCTGTTGGATGGGCTGGCCTAGCTGCTTCAGTGTGCTTGGCTTCAGACCACAAGTCCTCATGGAGGAAGTCTTATCTGTAAGAATCAGTAGCCAAACTGATAACCAAAGTGTACTCAGTTTCTGTATCTCTCCTCTCCATCCCCATTCCTGTTCCCATTCCCACTGGATAGCCTCTCTTCCCAGTTCTGAATCAGCTCTTACCACTCAGGGGAAAAGTCTGCCTGGCCCTGGGCAGTCCCATGCTGCTACCTCGCCCCACACTGGCTGGGGCTGGCAGAATTGCTCTCATGGGTCTTGCTGCAGCCAGTAATGAGGGCTTGCCCCGTGCTCTGCCTTTAAGCTCTGTAGCTCTGGGCCCAGTACTGAGTAGGTCAACTCTGAAAAAAAGACAGAAAGCGTCTGAAATTTTTAGACCAAGTAGACGAAAACCAAAGTGCAATTTCCATTATTGGCTTTGGACAGTCCAAATAGAACGATTATGTATCTTTATGACTCTGAGCAAGTAATTTCACTCCTTCTCTGTTCATCTCAAGATTTTAATATATAAGTGGGGAGTAACTACCTATATTTTGAGGTCATTACAAACATACAAAGGTATAAATAGGGACCACAGTGTGTAGTACCAATAAGTATTATAACTATAGCATCTAATTTTGCTGAAAGTCTATCAAAATTCCCACACAAGACAGTCTAGAGACCCTGGAGAACAATGTTTATGTTTTCTTCACCTCTGCAGTGCTAATGTTGAGCACAAGCACCATGGAAGGGCTCTATAAAGATTTGTTAAAGTGATTCACATGTCATGAACAAAAGGTCTGAAGTTCACAACTCCATCCAAGGATACTACATCACTTCCAAAGTATATTGCTTAAAAAAGGGGGGGCAAGATTTAGACAGTACATAAACACACGTTTATATACGCTTAAAATTATCTCTAAAAATAAGAAACTTAGAAATACAAACTGACCCCACATAATAATAATAAAGTGCTGCTACAAAAGGAAAAAAAAAAAAAGAAATACAAACTGATTCTGGGAAATGGATGGGTGGAAGGGAAATTAAAAGAAAGTTATTAACATACATTAGTTGTAAAAAAAAAAAAGGGGGGGTGTTCCACTGTGACATTTCCACAAATGTATTCCAATATACACCAATCAATCTCAATCCTCTATCATTCCTATCTCCCTTCCCAATATAACTTTAACTGGCCTCACTGTTCTATTTTCATACATGTGAATTATTTCAACCATATTCATCTTTATGTATTCTATTCATTAGCCCAAACCTCTTCTACTGATTCCCACATCCCTAAACAGAGCCTCTTCTCCTATGTGTCTCCTGAGTAGCTCAATAAAACATTTTTGTTTGCTTGTTTTTTGCTGGTCCTAGGGGCTTGAACTCAGGGCCTTGGCCATATCTCTGAGCTTGTGCTCTTACCACCTGATCCATGTCTTCCAGCTGTTTTTTCTTTGTTCCTTCTTTCCTTCCTTCCTTCTTTTGGCACTTAATTGGAAATAAGAGTCTCACATACTTTCCTGTCCATGGCTGGCTCTGAACCGTGAACCTCAGATCTTAAGCCTCCTAAGTGACTAGGATTTACAGGGGTGAGCCACTGGTGCCCAGCTAGCTGAGTTCCTTGTACTTGTTTGAGGTCGAACCATGTGAATATTATTTTTTATTCAACAACAGGACTGTAAAATGTAAAATTCATAATATAACCAAACTTGGTACTATCAGACAATTCTTTGTCTGGGGAGCCTTTCTTGTGTATTAGAGGATGCTTAGGTTATTTTCATCACTCTAAATGCCAGCAGCAAACCCCTCCGCAGTTCTAACACTCAAAAAGAAGCCTCCTAAGGGCTGGGAAGGTGGCTCAGTGGTAGAGTGCTTACCTTGCATGCCTGAGGCCCTGTGTTTGATTCCTTAGCACCACATAAGCAAAAAAACTGGAAGTGGTGCTGTGGCTCAAGTGGTAGAGGGCTAGCCTTGAGCTGAAGAGCTGAGGGACAGCGCCCAGGCCCAGAGTTCAGGCCCCACGACCAACCAAAAATAAAAGCCTCCTAAGAATTGCCAATGTCCTTTGAGGGCACAGTTATTCCTAGTTGAGAACTACTGATGTTAAACAAGGAGCCTTCACTTACAAGAACACAATAATCTTCAGAAAGAGGTACACACAGACTCCAGTTAAGCCATTAATAAAAAAGGAATAAGGGGAAAAAGCCCCAAACTTAAGCACTCTATGACTTGATCCACACCTGCAGCAATTTTGCTGGTTAAGTGGAAATGAGTCTTACAGACATTTCTGCAACCACCTGGGTAGCCAGGATTATAAGCCACTGGTGCTAGGCTAGGTTATAATTTTTCAATATCCTTCTCAAAGATTTTCAGGAACATGGAAGACGCATGAAGTGACTATGCCCAAAGTTAAATGGAAGCCAGTTAAAACTAGACCTGAGTTCTCTGACCACTAGAAAAAGGTTCTTTTTAGAGCTTTTTTTTTTTTTTTTTTGATGCCAGTCCTAGAGTTTAAACTCAGGGTCTGAGTGCTGCCCCTAAGATTTCTCACTCAAAGCTAGTACTCTACCACTTGAGTCACAGCTCCACTTCTTGCTTTTTGGTGATTAATTGGAGATAACATTGTTACCAATTTTACTCCCTGGGCTGGCTTTGAACTCTGATCCTCCTCATATCTCAGCATCTTGAGTAGCTAGGATTACAGGTGTGAGCCGTCAGCACTGGGAAGAATGTCTTTATAAGAGTTCTTCTTTGAAATTCTCTATCTAGGATTGGACTCATAGCTGCTAACACTGTACACTTGTACCAGCCAGATTCTAGTTAAGTGCTTTAGGGAGACTGACAATAAAAGATGTACTAGGAATCTGACAGCAATACATGGATGGGAGATTGTTAAGGCAAATTGATATATGTCTCTAGGCATTGGTTTCTGTACCTCCAAAAAGGGACTACGAACTGAGATCAGCAATGCTGTAAAGATAATGTGCAAGGCTAATATGGGCATTTGCATAACATTGCCATGAGAATATGTAACTGTACTAGCTTACCCTGTAGGCTTTTTAAAAGCAGGTACTGGACTGGAGGTGCTGGAACCCTCAGCTGCTGGTGGTATGTATGGTCGGGGACTGTCATTCTCAGGTGTTTCCAGAGTAACCTCAGTCTTCACAAAATTCTTGACAACTGGTGCCTTAGTGACTGCTGTACCTCGATTTCCAGGACCTCCCTTGACCAAAACATGAGCATCGGAGACAATCACTTCCTCCCACTCATTCTCTTCACCCACTTCTCTTGGAGGAACAACATTTAAGAGCTGGCTTACAGCTTCTGAGTTCTCCAGAGTCACTTTGGAGTCATTTTCATTACAGAAATTTTGCTCAGAGGTAACAGAGCTATTGGAAGAGACATCCGAAGCCGATTCCACTTTGACTTTGGCTGGCTTTTCCTAGAAAAATCAGAATACCTTGTAAACATAAGATATTTTACAGTTGACACAAATATGCTAATTTGATCCTCTTAGTAATAATATATGAGAAAGAGAAGTTAAGAGTCATCAAAAGAAGAGGCTACCTTAAGGACCCAAGTATAAAACTGGATTAAGTCCAAGACCCTTTCTCTACAGAATCAAATGCCTCTGGACAAAGCTACTCTCCTTCTACTAAATTACTTACTAGCATGCACTTTTCATCAAATAACTGTTGGCTTTTTGTTGTTGTTTTCAGTATTTTGGGGAGATCTTGAAGTCTGGAGGCTTTTTTTTTTCTTTAGACTAGTGCTCTATCACTTGAGTCACAGCTTTACTTTCAGCTTTTTTGGTAGATAATGACACTCATGGACTTTCCTCCTTGGGCTTGGCTTTGAGCCATAATCCTCAGATTTCAGCCTCCTGAGCAGCCTAGATTATAGGCATGAGCCACCAGTGCCTAGCTAATGTTGGCATTTTTTAGTATGAATTCTGATTGCTCTAGGCCCATTTCTCCTTATAGAGAAAGAAGTAGACACACTGCTACATTGGGTCTAAAAGTATTTACCTCTGGAGCAGGTTTTATGAGATTCAGTTAATCGCAATATGATAAAAGTTTCCCACAGTATTTCTACTTCCTTGGGGAAAAAAATCTTTTTTTTCCTAACTTCTTAATAATTCTAAATTATGAAGTTAATTATGTATTATGAAATTAATCCTTGACACAAGTTCCAATTCCCTAAAACCATAAACATCCAATCCATACGCAAATTAAAATCTTTACCTTCATTATTTTTTCAAATGAGTCTTTAGAATGACTTACAAAATGCCACATACTTTATACTCTGGGTCAAATTAACTCATACATTAAAACTCACTAAAAATTGCAGCTGTGAAGAATCAAGCCTGAAAGATATGATAGAAGAGAAAGTACAGAGGAGTGTCCTGAAAAGGTGATGTCAGTGAGATTAGAAATGTGGCAAGGATTTGACCTTTGAAAACGCTGGCCAAGGTCTATGAACAAGAATGCCAAAAAATATGAAGTGGGGGAAAAAAAAAACATCCTCAATAACCTACAGCTATGTCTCAAGGTGCAATGCCAGCCATCTTACCAGACAGATGAATGCTGAAAAATAATTCTGCAGATTCAGAGATTTGGTTCATTACGTTTCTGATAAGCATCTATACTTGTGACAGCCTATCTTCAGTACAAATTGCCAGCCCAGATATATCATCCATCTCCACTGACAGCAGTGACAGTTTGTCCTGAAGGGGATTTATTACATAAAGTAACCCTGTTTTCCTGCAAAATCATTTGTTTCAGATCCATGCATCTCTACTCTTACTGAAAACTCCAATGACTTTATTCTAGAGCAGCATTCCATCCATGGTTGTATTTCTGCATCTTCTAGGATCACAAGCAAAGTGTGTGGAACGTTATGTGCTATGGTTAGATTTCAGTGAAATGTATAAAGAAGACAGATTTCTGCTGACTCAAATTCCCTTTAGTATAGAAAGTATTTGCTATGTATGGCCTAGATGTATTGCATACAGCAAAGCCATTATTCATGGAGAGGAGCCCTGGACCCATGATGTCCCTGGTGCCCTCCAGTCCCAGGGCAACAAGGACAGCAAGTTATATCAAGACCATTATGAACCTAATCAGTAGAAAAAAATAAGTTATGTATGGTTCCCTGAAGAATACAAGTGTCCACAAATATGGTCAGAACTAAACAGATAATTCTGCATGCAGTGAAGATCTGAAGAAACTAGATGTGGTAGATAGCTGTATTTCTCGGTGTCACTTCCTGAAGAGCAACTGGAAATCAAAAGGAAATTATGATAGCTCATCTACTTTCTGAATCCTGGGATAAGGGTTGACTGGTTATGTTAATGTACAACTCAGGAAGGTCTACAGTGACAGCCTGTTGGAACCCACTTAAATTCTCCAAGTGAAGACAGTTATATCACAGAGGCCAAAAAGGTGGCTTGTAAAACTATTTACCTACACAGCAAGAACCGGTGCCCAACCAAATAGGGTTGCATGGGGGATGGAGCTGTATGAGAAGCTCTCATCATGACTCCACCCATTCTGCCTGAATCACAGGATTCTGACCAAGCCCCCTTTTTCATGTTCCTCTCTGACCAATGGAACTCAAAGGCCACACACACATTCAATGCTGCCTAGTAGCATTGGTATACTCTTCTGCTTGTTACACCACTAGCAGCAGTTGAGAGAGATAGAGGTGCTGAATGGTGATAGAGAATTGAGATGGTTTTGGAGATATAGTACAAGTAGTTAACTGGCAGTGATTTCAAGAATAGAGGTAATTTTAGAGAACCTAGGAATGTGCCCCCCATGCCTCACACACACACACACACACAAACACACACACACACCCCCTGCCATACACATATATTTTCCCTGTCCTAGTGTTGGTATGTCTGAGCAAACAAGACAAAAAAAAAAATTAGCTGCAGGAAAGAAACTAGCAAGAATTCCAGCAGAGGAATTGACCTGATGGACCTGCACAATCCAAGAAAAAGAGGAAAGCTAAAAAGGAGGTGACACTAAGATAACACCGCTGGGGACTGTAATTCAATTGAGGGTGCGGCCAAAGACCACACAGACCCTGAGCCTCCCCCCTCACCTTTGGACACAGTCAAGAGCTGCCAGGGTCAAGAGGGTCACAGGTCTCAATAACACAGAGGATCTGGAAAGGTGCAGCTAACACCTGGCACTTGCCCTGGATTCCAACAGAACACAAAACCAGCAGCTCTGCAGTGAGAGAGATCCAACAACTGAAACATGAAAAGAAAGACCTGCAGGATCAACAGAGGAAAGAGAAAGATGATGATCTGTGTGCAGGAAGCACTGAAAACAGAGCTGGAACTTCACAAGCTAGCAATACAGATGCTGGTGTCAGAAAAATTAGATTTACAATCTCCCCTGGCCCACATGTAACAGGTGGCCAATGAAAGAGAACTGGAACACAAAGGTCTTGCTAGCTGCCTGCAGGCTTCACAACAGTGCATCACAGAGCTAGAGATGACATTGTCTGCAGTCTCCACCATGCAGAATGAGACCAACAAAAACAACTTAGAGTGCATTAAAGCCCTGAATGACATGGAGCTGCAGCTCCAGGCAAAGGCCAAAAGCTATAATGACCTGGAGGAAGACAACATTGAGCTGCAGGAGAGGCTGGAAGTGCTCCTGACACAGAAGGCTGACGTGAAGATCAAAATTCACAAGTCTCAACAAGCACTAGGAGAGCAGGCAGAGTTGAAAAGACAACCAGACAACAGGAAAGAGTTAGTGACAGAATTAAAGCTGGAGAGAGACACCTCTTAGAGCAGATGAGCCAACTGAAAGAGGAGAGAGAGCAAGGGATGAGGCAGGTGTTGGACATAGAGACCAACTTGGTAGGACTGAGAAAGCAGCTGTCAGAGATGCTGCCCCTGCAGCTCCCTAAAGGGTCATCTCAGGCTGAGCAACAGCTGCAGGCCCAGGCCTTCCAGGTACAGAAGGAGCCCAAGCACCTGGAGACGCAAGTTCACATCCAGGGGGAGGAGAACCAGAGCCTCAGTCTCCAGAACCTGGGGCAGCAGCAGTGGCTGTGGGTGCTGGAGAAGAAGACCAAGCAATGGGATCAGCATGCTGAGGATCAGCACAAGATCCTTGAGACAACAGAACAGGAGACCATGAGATGCACATGATGCAAAATCGAGAGCTGAAAGATCAGCTGGTCTAGGGGCAGGTTGCTTTCCACAGACAGAGTAGTGAGAAGGAGGAGCTTGCCAACATCCTACCCTCAGAACAGCAGGTGAAGAAAACATCAGCAGAAGCTAGATCAGCTGGAGGAGAAGTCAGAAGAACAGAAAGAGATGAATGAGTTAGAGAGCCAAGCAGCTCAGAATCTGCAGGAGCTGAGAACCATTAGCACATGGCCTCTAGTCAGCAGCTGACCTCAGAGAAGGAGGCCCTGCAGCAGCACCTGCTGAGGCAGACCTAGCTGCTGGAGCAGCTGAAGCAAGAGCAGGTGCACACGAAACTGGAGAGCCTGACAGTACCTCAAAAGTTACAAGACACTCTGACTGAAGTGCCTGGAAGCAACAAGGCATGAGAACAAACAGCTGTGGGCCCAGTTGAGCTTCCTGACTTTCCCTGGGAAAGGTGAAGCCCTTAGCAAAGAAGTAGAAAGGGACCAGATACTGGTGACTCATGTCTGTAATCCTAGCTACTCAGGAGGATGAGATTTGAGAATCACGGTTCAAAGCCAGCCAAGGCAGGAAAGTCTGAGAGACTCCTATCTCCAATTAGCCTCACCTTGAGCCAAAGAGCTCAGGGACAGCACCCAGGCCCAGAGTTCAAGCCTCACAACTGACAAAAACAGAAACAGTAGGAAGGAGTAAAAGGGCAACTGCCCGTGATGTGACTGTCCCAGAGGATCTAAACAACCTACAAATCAATGTGGGATTTTTACCCAGAAGTACTATCCATTACTGAATCAAAGAAAGGTGAAGCTCAGCTGGCAGCTGTAGAAGCAGCAAACCTGTTGTGGTTGCCTGGCCAACCTGGCAGCCCAGTGCTAGAGAAAGCTGGAGTGCCAGGCCTCTTCCCCTCTGGGGAGATGGACCAGGACACACAGGTGCCCCAGAAGCTGAAAATCTCTGCTTCATCTGCAACCTGTCAGACAAGGCAGACTACCAGAATCAAGTGGATGACCTCAACACTGATGCAGCCAGCTGTCAGAACACATCATCACCATTGAAGAGTCCATAGTTTTCTATAAAGAACACATAGAAGTTCTAGATGATCTGTATCAGGAGAAAGTTGAGTGTGTAGGCTGGCTGTCCAAGGAGAAGAGGGGGAAAGATGAGGAGCTGAAGGAACTACTGTAACATTTTGCAGGTGAGGACACAGAGCGCTAGAATAAGATGCTGGCAGCCACCCAGACCTCTGCTGTAGAGGTTACCTCAGA